TATGTCCCAGAATCATAAACCACAGGAGATTGGCTGCAGGGGACCTCCCCCAGTCGCTGACTGGTTGCTGGGGGGGGCACGTGCCCCCCATGACTAAGCTGGCACAGTCATCCATGAACTACAGTAATCCCAGTCATTTAGGGTGAAGAATTAAATCTCTCTCTTTTGTACTTCAAAGCAGAATGATAAATGTGTCAGTTGCTCACCTCATGCTCTGGTGAAAGATGTTCCATGTCAATTCGTAAACACCTGAGCCCAGGTAAAAAGTGGTTGACCATTAAATCCTCTGAAATGACTAACAAAAAGGCTGTTAAGGCAGATGACTTTTGCAATCAAACATGATATTACTTTAATTTCAAGGGAATATGTTGGTCACCAAAAATGCAACAGAATTTGTTTTTAATTGTGGTCAAGTGGACCATCAACCCTGATTAAGTGACCTAAAACCATGTCAACAATAAATGGAAAAAATAGCTGGGAAATACTTGAGACCCAATGATGATACCAGGATGGGAGTTTGTGCACTTGGGAACAGGATTACAAGTGGGTTAGGGGTGGATATAGTGGGGGTGCAGTGGCACAGCTGCACCTTGTTTTTGGATTGAACCACACCACAGTAGCATCCAGGGATTTTTTTAAGCCTTTAAAGGAGGTGAAGATCCTTATATCCCTCCTTCCCCCACACCTGCTACTGTTGCTTTTCTCACTGTGCTGGGGGTGGGGGAAGCACCAGAGCTGTCTCTGTTTGCTCCAGCTGAGTTGAAGGGGGCTGGGCTCAGGGAAAGCAGCAGTGGGGATGGACGGGGGTGGGAGGATGCAGGGGGTGTCCCCTTATCTATGCCTGCTCCTAGAAGGGATGGGTCAGGGAGGGGGGAACTATTCTTTTGCTGTGATGTTGTCGGTGTTCCCATTCCCAGATAAGACCATTCCTGGTGCAGCACAGCTGGGGTGGGCAGAACAGGCTCTGCTACTTTCCCTGCCCCTGGAACAGGGGTAAAGCAACAGTGGCAGGCTGGGGAGGAGGGAAGGGAAGCAGAAAGGGAATGAGAGGGCAGATTTTCACCTGTTTTAGGGATAAAGTCCATGGAGGCTCCTGAGGGTGGCAGTCTGCCTGCATTAGTGGGGATGGAGGAAGGTGGAAACTAGAGGTGCAGCCATACATGCAGTGCAGGTTGCTGCTCCTTCACTACCCACTTTGGGAAATCCTAGATCTGTCCCTGGAAATGGGTAT